CATACCAGGCTGGCGTCCCTAGCCTTCCCGTCCAATCTGTTCCGTTACCAACAGCGCTAGGTCCTACATCGCTTTATGACCGGGCTATTCGACCCCAAGCTCTTCGAGGCTCTTATTGTCCACCGTCCCTCATCACTTACGGACGCACTCGATTTCTGCCGTTTCTAAGAGTCGTACCGAGCAATACACCGGCCAGCTCCGACAACCTCATCCCCTCCAGCCAGCTGTTCCCCGCTCAACCGCTCCCGTTGCCCCGGCGCCACGCCCTACCTTCCAACCACTAACCTCCCAACGACCAGCCCCCGTTCGCTACCCCGATTTCCACCCCGGCTGTCGCTACTGCGCCGCCTACGGTCCCGACAAAAGGCAATGTGGCCACAACCAATGTTGTAAGTCAACAATTCCTTCCCCTATCTTGGATAACGCCTCCATTTCACCCTTTATAGTTCCCATTTCCATCGAGAATTATCGCATCAATGCTTTAATCGATACTGGTGCTAATGTTTTGCATTCCCCCAACACTCCTATAAGTGCATAGACCCACTTCCTCGCCCTCGCCATATCCAAGCCGCTAACGGCACCCAAATCCCGATCTCAGGCTCCATCTCACTAACCTTCGTTTTTTGCGACTCTCGTGTTTCACATGACTTTTTAGTTACTCCTTCCAGCCCCTGGCCAGTAGTATTTGGGTTAGATTTCCTTACCAACCATAACTGTGTTATTTATGCCCATGACCGCCGCATAGTCCTCGCCCAAGACCAAAACCCCCCGCACCCTAGTTCATCGCCCGCACCTAGCCCCGATGTTGATTTCGAACTTACGTATAATACCGTTATGGCGGCCATTGCCCTCGAACCCTGCTTCATAGAAGACATACTGCCACCATCGTCTACAGTTGACCCCATCGCTCGTACCCAGTTACGCGACCTCTTGGAATCCTTTCCCGGGATTTTCTCGTGGTCCACCGACTCGTTAGGCTGTAACAACCTCATTCAGCATACAATTGATACCGGCGAAGCCAAATCTATCTGTCGACCACCCCGCCGTATCCCCGTACGTTATCGTGCCGAAGTTGATAAGATACTTGACAAGCTTGAGCACTACCACGGTCCACTCCCCCCATGTACCCCTGATCCCTTTCCCATAGTCCCTCCCGTAGCGCTAGAAGTTACCGTGGCCTCCCCCATAGTCGACACCAGCACTGAGGACAGTGCTGCCCCTTAGGAGGGGGGGGGTCATGTAACGACCCAAACCGATCAGAGTGTGTTTTTTTAGGCTAACTCCGCCTAATTCGATTTTTCAGAGTTCGACGCGTGGACCCGGCGTACAACCTTCAACTTCGATAAGTCCAACCCCATCTTATTTGAACTTACGGATATTCTATCATTGCAGTTCTACGATACTGACTTTTTTGTATTGATACGTTTTGTTTCCCCGAACCTCCCCCTTTATTTTGAACTACATACAGCCAATATTTTTCTATACAAGTTCCACCAGTATTTTTCTAGATTATACGTTTTCAGTTCCTACAGCATTTCGTGAGATTCTTGTTGTTTACTGTCGTTCATTAGATTAACCACCATCCTTCCCCGTTACGCGTTTCTTTTGATACGTCTACTAGGTCTACTAATAAACCTATTTTTCTACTACTACTGATTTCTTACACAACGTATCTTCACGTCATGTCTGATGAGTTTGATCCATTGGGATTTGGCCAAATGTTAGATAAAGCATGCGAATCCACCCATTTATTTCAGAACAGTCCACAACCAGACAATATCTGGCCTGAGATGTCTTCATTAGATCCGTTACCTCCAACTAACTCTATTCCATCTGATCCATTCTCGGACTCATATCACCCTATTGCGATCCACTCGACTGAAGCGGTCAATCCACGTGAAGACCGTATATTGGATTTCCCGCCCCCAGTCAGCTCGGCCGTTACATATATGAACGAAATGAGAATGAGTGAAGGAAGACAAATGAAAGATGACATTGTACAGGGAAGTAGCTTTAATGTCGGAGTGGGAAATGATGAGAAAGAGAAGGCGCGAGGAAAGTCACAGAAAGTGTAAGTTACGGTAATTATGTGTATGTTTCGGATCCGTTCCCTACCCTCTATTGATGAAACATGAAATATGTGATGTAAAATATGTTGCAAATGAAGTTAGTATGGAGTAACTGTGCGTGTAAAGTCACTTAATTGAAATTGTTGAATTAAGTGAATGATTATGAAGGTAATGTAATAAGTGAGTGTGTGCTAATGTATATAAATGATGTTGGCGAGTAAAAAAGACGGTTATGAAATTAGTTAGTAAGTTAGTGTGTTGATAATTGTGTTGATAGTTTTAATGATAATTATTGAATAAAATAAATGATTATGAAGATAATATAGTGAATAAGTGTGTGTTCGCGCATAATTTTTGGGTTGGGAAATAAAATAAGTAAATAGGAAGGAAATGTGGATGGTGTGTGTGTCAAATGATATAATTAAAATTTGGTGAATTAGGGGAATGATTATGAAGCTAATTAAATGAGTAAGCGTGTCTTAATGCATTTTAATTGAGCATGAACGTAGTGCAAATTATTTGTGTTTGAATCTATGTCATTGAAGTTTGTGAATAAAATGAATGTCAGGTATTGACAGTTATGAAGTATGGTTTATTGTGTATTTCTTTTGTTGCGGTAAATGTTTCATGCAGTAGGAGAATAGCCAAGTCACAAATGGAAAGGAAGACGAGAACAGAGGCCGTTTTGGACATTATCAACTCGGAGGAAATAATAGACTACTGTCAGGAGAAGAGACTGCTGCTATATGTTGTGGAATGTCGGTGTCGTGGATGGATGAAGCGTCAAGTGTATCGACAGCATACCGATGGATATATATTTCGATGTGTGAGATGCAGGAAGAAGAATGCGTTGAGGACAGGATCTGTGTTTGAAAGCAGCCGCTTGACAATAAGAATAATATTGAAGATTTGGCTCGCTTTTGTGAAGGGTACGCGAATCGCCGTATGTGAGAAGGATTTAGGAATTGCACATTCAACGGCCGTGCGATGGTATGATTTTTGTCGTGAGGTGTGCACAAGAGCTCTATTGAAAGCAGAAGGACATACCGTTTTGTCGCATATAAATGAAGTACAATACCGACTGTGGTTCGGTCTTCAAGAAATGGATTTAGAAGGAGCCTGGAATCTGTTTTTGAGCCATGTAGCAGCCGCATACCCATTAGAAAGCGGAAGAAGAGGAACGTGTGATGAAGATGGAGAATAAATGAGTGCAATTGGAATGTGCTGTCGTGGGAATCTGCCAGCGGAAAGGTCTGTTGATGTGGCAGCTTGCCAGGAATCTATGGATCACAGTGAGAACGCTGCAAAGGCCCTCTTCAGGGCCGCTACCCTTGATTGTTATTGCCTGTGGTTGTCTTACTTTCATTTTGAGCGGACTTAGCACTGGAAGCTCTGGCTTAGGACAGGATGGTCCGTGCAGTATTGCGCGTAAAAATACGTTTTGAAGACCCTGTTTATTTAACAGTTTGTTTGTATGTGGTTATACTGTGTGCATATGAAATGTGGGCGAAAGGCATTTCTGTTAATGGGTGATCTTGTGGGGATGGCATGTAAACCGCGGTGTTGTAGTATTCTTCCGATATGCTGGAGCGGAGAAGAGTGTGAGTAGCCTTAATGAGGTAGTCATTTCGAGGATGGAAAGGGTTAGGGTAGGTTAGTTGAACGAACCCGTCTATCACGTCTAACCCCCCGAGGTAAGGTATGTGCAGTAATTTAAAGTGCAAATGGTGCTTCTTTTCTAGCAAAGTAAATCGGGTCATGGCAAGTCTGAGTAGACGAGGAATGGGAACGATCGACTTAAATGAATAGGCATAAATATACCTACTGAAACGAATACAGTAGTTATTTTAGTGTTTTCTCCAAAAAGGAAACTACCCGCGCTACGATCACCAATGTTTTATTTCATTTGATGAGGTATACGCAGGGAAGGTGCACCTAGTGTCCAGACGGGATCATTAAGGCCGGAGGCGCGATTGTGCGCGAATAGCTGGTATGGCGGAAACCTGCACCTGTG